GATAATACACAGACAAGCATTGTGCTCACCAACCCCACCAAATCGGACAGACGAGTATACCTCCGTGTTAACGTGGATAATATGGTGAATTCACAGATGTGTTTTCACTTTTGTTTAACTTCATTGAACTAACGTTATTCCCAAAAACCATCCCACGGGACTTGTCAAATCTTGTACTATCCTGATCATTGAACTCTGAAATATTAAGAGCCCATAAGTGTGTAGGGGAACTTTCTGAAAATTGGGGTTGGAATATTCTCACTCTGGAATCACCAACGGCAACTGTGCCTACTCTATGGGACTTCGCAAGTGCACATTCAGTCGGCAAACTCTACACGTTCTTCTTACTCAAATGTGAGTCGTATTATCCTCACCCCATACGTGTGCCCGTTTTTGCTGATGTTTGCTGTCATATTGTGGATCACAAGGAAATCGGTGGCCACGTAAATAGTATGCGTTTTACTTGTTGGTCAGTACATGGATATTTTTTCGCAGTTTGTAAATAACGATACAATAAGAGTTACCATCTCTGACAAAGGTTTAAAAAGTCCACCTATTGGCGCGAGCTTGTTAGACGTAAGAGCTGAACTACCTCCTCGTAGTGCCAGCTGAGTAGTTCTGATTTATCCCGTTTGAGCAAATAGTTCGGCGGCAGTGTTCCAGGACGTGGTGCGTTTTCGCCTGGCAAGCGTTCACCCTATAAAAGCCACAAATGTCCGTTTAACGACACTGTGATGTATCAGTTATGACTAACCACTACCTAAAGTCACTGCTCTCAGCTTATCAGGACAATCGTATCCAACCCACAAACACCCAACATTCCTTCTGACTTTGGCGACTCGATCAAACACAGTCAGAAGTGCAGCCATTTACCAACCCATTTACCAACCCAAGCTACACGGATACACACATGGTTGGCGACATCCAGTTCCGGAGTTACCTGTCACTGCGGCCTTCATAGGAAAGCTATATGACGCCTGCGCATACAGAAGACCATGGTTGGCCTGCGCTGCACCACCCACAGCTCCATCCATACACCCCATATCCAGTGTCGGGGTCTCGCTTACCCCCTTCGTACACTATATGTACTTATGTACACGCATACAAAATGCTTTTACACATTTTGTGTAAACAGGTACAAATGTCTATTTTCACAACATTTCGTTACGTTTCTACACCTATTCAGTAATTGTAATTTCACAGTAGCGTCTCAGAGAAAAAAGCACCACTTGGGTTGTGTGTTTTATTGTCTCTCTTGGCAACGTTACTTATTTTTAAGTGAAGATGCTCATTCCGCATGGTTAAGAAACTGCATCCTTATTCTTCTGGTGCTTTTATTATTTCGGAGAAGTGTATAGTATTCAGTGCAAAAATTTTTTAAAGTTATGTGCACACATGATGTGCATACATTGTGACCGAATGAAGTAAATGTTCGGATATCTGAGCATAGTAGTGATGTGTTGCGTATAGAAATTTTGCCTAATTTTGAATTAATTTTTTTACTGACCAATGCTTTCTTGCGTTATTTTATTCATTTTTTAACATTTTATCCTTCCTTTCTGCTGTAGGAGTTAAAATTATAAAAGTGTGGGAAGTCAACATCTTTTTTAATTACACTTTAACTGACAGGAATACGTTTGACAATGGATGATTTGCTGCAACGTTTGAATGAATCTGATTTAGAACTATCCTTTTCTAATAATACTGAGGGTGAGAGTTCTTATCCTGCCTGATCTGGTCTGCTCTGTGGTGCGAATGATAATGAAAATAATGTGGATGAATGTGGAGAGGAAAATCCTGAACATTCAAGCAGTTACGCTAGCCAAAGCTTGAAATCAAAGAAAGCTAACATGAAATGACAATCTCCCAGAGATGGATTTCACCCATGAAACATAAGTTGGCAGGAAGATTCCAGTTTAGGTTATGGCTTCACTTCACCACCAGAATACTTCCTACAATAATTCAGACCCGAAATTTTTGACGAGTTTGCAGAGCAGACAAATATTCATCACATTATTAAAACGGCGAGGAGTTTTGCTACAACGGCTGCTGGAAGGCGAAAGTTTTTCGGTGTCTCAATTGTGATCTCAAATCTTGGCTTTCCAAGGATCCGTATGTACTGGCAAAGAGCCACAAGAGTGAATGCAGTTACAGGCACAATAACGGAGAACCGGTACTTGCAAATGCAAAATACCGTCCACATTAACGTTGAGTAATATCCACCTCAGAGAACAAATCCATTCTGGAAGTGCGAGTTTCTTATCACAGCTGTGGGCTCTCACTGTACCCCGAACAGAGTTCAATGCAGTTGATAAGCAACTGATACCGTTTACCGGGAGATGCCAACAAGAAAATTCATTAAAAGTATACTAAACCCAGTGGGGACAAAGAATTTTCTCATATGTGGCCAATCAGGAAGAGCCATCGTGTCAGCTGTACGCCGTAACGGCACTTCGCTGCCGCGTGACCACCACTAGTCACGTGTGCACTGAGTATACCGTGAGGACATCCGCCCCTACTCAGATTCGTACCGGTGACTTTATGATTGCGAGTTAGGCGTGCGTACCACTCGGTGTCCGGCAGACGGAAGGGCCATCGACTTAGAACTTTATCCAAATGCAGGAACAGATGTCCCTGCTGATACAAAGCTTTTGGGTCTTCTTGCATCGATACTTCTGAGATTGTCAGAAAGTATCCTTCAACAGAAAAAGTACAGGCTTTGCTTTGACAACTTCACTGAAACAAGTCTTATTAATGAACTGAAAATGCAAGGTATTTACTCGATAGTACTGTGAAACGTAACCGTTTTATTGGATGTCCGCTGCAATTCGAACAAGATATTTGCAAGGATGCTCGAGGAGCTTCTGACTACAAAACCTCAACAGATGGAGCTCTCTTTGTGGTCAGGTGGATGGACAACGGGGCTGTTACTCTTGCCTCCAGTTTTGCGGTCATGGAAGAGATGGACAGTGTACGTCGGTGAAGTGATAGCACAAAGTAATACTTTCAAGTGAGCAGACCAAAATGTGTCAGTTTACACTGAACGCATGGGCGTCGTGGATAAGCTGGATTTTCACATTTCTTTGTACAGCATTAGGGCCAAAATATTGAAATGGACTGTACGCTTGGTTTTTCACTTCGTAGACTTTGTCCTCGCAAATTCATGGTTGGAGTATAGAGGTATTGAAATTGTAAATGTCACACCAAAAAATAGCATCGCAGATCTTCTCTGTTCCAGAAGTGAAGTTGCTAACACTTTAATGAAAACGCACTTGCCACAGCAAATCCGTGCAGACCTGTGGGAAGACTAAACATATCCACATCAGTCACGGCATCTGACAATGCTTTCACAACAACTGCTAAGGCTGGTACTTCTCCCCTAAAAGCGTGCAACATCTGCAGAGAGACCAGTTGTTAAAGTCAGATTTAACCATTTTCCTGTTTGTATCAACGCTTAGGACAGCACTGTAAGCTTGAGGGTTGCAAGGGACGCAGCAGATTCAAGTGTACTAAATGCAACCAGTCTTTTCGCTGCCCAAAGGGAAAACTGTTTCATAGCATCTCACAGAAGTAATGATAAGATATATTTCTAGCCTTTCATTTTGCTACTTTTTGGTAGCCTAGGTCACAGTGCGTACCTATGTACATATGGTCTCATTTGTTTAAGTTACCAGCAGCGGTCGAAATCTTTCGTTAACTATGTTAGAAGATCAAATATATCACTGTCAATGCGAAAGATAACTTTTTAGATCAAAACGCTTTTTCCGTGTACGAAGGCGTTATTCTTGGTCTTCATTAACGACCTCGCGCGTGTCATCGAGTCAGATTTCCTGCTTTTTGTCGATAACATGAAGATATGGCGGGCCATGGGTAGTCAGGAAGATCTGCTGCAATGGGGCTTAGACCGTGCTTTTGAAAGTCAAAGGTAAATCTACTTACATTTAACGCAGACAACTTCAAACCCACTAACGCATATAAGCTTGGAGACCACCTCTTACAAACCGCCTAACCAGAACGCGACCTTGGGGTGGTAATGCGGACAACCTCGGCTGTTCGGCGCAGTTCTTGAAGGCGTCCAAAACCCTGAACCTACACAGGGCGTTCGGATAATTCAGACCTGGCAGCGCTGGGTAAAACGCAATCTGGCTGCACTGGAGATCCCTTAGTGAAGGGCAACCGAAATGTGAAGGGATTGTTCCGCCTGCCAAATCATTGCGACTGAAAGCTCTAGAACTGGACAGCGGAAGTTATCATCGTCTACGGGGCGGTCTCATTCTGGCCTACCAGATCTTGAAAACCCCGCTCACGCTTACCGCCACCTGAAACTTATCTGCAACACAAAGTCGAGGGGTTACTAGCCGAAACTGACTGGCGTTTTACAAAATGGCTCGACTTAATTCACTCCTAATGGGAAGCGTCAGCTATCCTTATAGAAAATTAAACAAACTATTCTAAACTGAATTTAGGGAGCACGCTGTGTGGTTGGGTTGCAACTCGCAACCTCTATTGAGACTTCGGTTCACTTTGAGGTAAACCTCGGTCATTCCGATCTCGAGGACCGTATCCTGAATGGAAAGATTTGGATGTTGCTCTTTCCAACATTGGCACACCACGACCGCGGTTTCGTCCTGGTTTGGACTCTCAGGTGGAGATAGCATAAGCTGAGGCGTCAGCCGTGAACTACTAAGCACTGTGTTCCACCCAGATCAGGCTACCTCCACCTGACGAATCCAAACCAGGACGAAACCACGGTCGTGGTGTACCAGTGTTGGGAAGAGCAACACCCAAATTTTTCCATCCGAAGCAAACTATTCTTTTAAATTTTTTCCTGCTTAGGTACTCTTATCAACGGAATAAGCTGCTGTTGAGATTAATGGATAGCGAAATCTAAGCTACTTTAATTATTATCTGCAAATATATCCCACCCGTCGTGAAATATACTCATTTGTGTATTTAGGCAGAAGTTTGCACGTTATGTTTACTCGTTTCGATTATTTTAGTGGGATGGTCTACTACGAAGATGTAACACACGTGTTGAGGCAACAGACGTACTGGCCAAGTTACAATATTCCGTGAGTTACATTTCTTTTTCGTTTGTTTATGTATATAGTAGGGTGAGCTTGATCATGTTTGTGTTCCGTTGCCCCCTGTTCGATGTGTTTGGAGATATAGTCGCAATTGGATGATATAACATTAGATTAATGAATTATTTACGACAGTGCGCCCTAGTGGTCCGGAATTCTGATTTAATGGTAAGGTACGATTTATGAGGGAATAAAACTAAAATTCTGACAAGGCTTTCATCCCAGTAGTTCACAAGCTACATAACAGAGCCTAGTTCGGAAAAGCACCAGACTAGGCTCTGCTATGTAGCTTGTGAACTACTGAAATGAAAGCCTTATCGGAATTGCAACTAAAATCCTACTACTCGCGAGTAATATAAAATCAAGATCCCCTGTTCATCTGTGCTGTCCTGGCCGCACATTCTTGCAGTCTTGACTTTCTAAAGCTACTCTGCCGCATTTGTCCCACACCACAGGTTCCATGCATACTTGTTTTGATTTGACAAGCACGAAATCGTGATATCAATTATTTGCGAACACTACAAATACATCCTACATTTACCCGGAACTTACTTCCTGGCAGTGTTTCATCGATGCCTACACCCACATGGTTGTATTATTCTAACCGTCGGGCACGTATTTTGTGTTACTCAATGGAACAATTCAGCAGCGTTCCAACACTCTTACTTGTTCTAGTTCACCACGAGTGAAGCAGCCACAGAATAACCTGCCTATTTTCCTCAGCGAACCCTACCTGGCCTCGATAAGTCCGCATTTGCACCCAACACATTGTTCGCGGACGATCAGTAGACCAAACCACGAAAGCCGTCAACCGCAATATCGTTTAATTGCCGCACGGACATACAGCAGCATTCCGCCGACACATCAACCCGAATCTTAGCGAGATACCCTTACAGTCAGGCCAGAGAGACGTGAACCGTGTGACTTTGCCTCAACTTGACGACTTCTGGTGGATGTGATTCGGCTTGTTTACATATCAACTTACTCCGCAGATCAATAAGTTAACCTGCGTCAGCCCAGCTAGCAACCTGACCTATAGCGTTTGAGATCGGCCTGCGGCGAGCTGCGTTCGCAAAATCGAAGATCACAGTGCCACGCGCCGCCTGCTCACGGAAATTTCAGCCTAAAGCACCACGCTTGTACGTTACTTGCAATGTGCAGTGCTGCATTATGGCATTCGTATTAGACTAAAATACTCTAGCTATTTTAAAGCCTCCATCCCCATTGTACTCGCCTAACTCTAAGTGAGATAACGAAACGCCGTAATACGATGGACTACGTTTCTCTCCATTGAGTGTACGGCTATTCCACCCGTCAGCTGTATAGCTGTGTTAACACTAAGGTGCACATACTGGCACAGATTATGTAACGAGCAGCCGTCGTAATAGCTGTCCCAATGAACCCAGACGAATTAATACTTCGAACTAAATTCCCATCATCAAACTTCGGTTCACTACAGAGCATCCTGGCGGAACGTAAGAACAGCAGTCCAGTGTTGGGCATCGGGATACAAGGGACTGCTCCCAGTGATGCAATCGTGGCATATGCTTCATCACATTCACCCAGTACATCCAATGCTGTTGAATTACCGACAAAAGCCGCGTCTGTTTTTGTCACTTACATGACAGAGGCGTCTTCTATCGTAGCCTCTACCGCAGCCAAACTACTTGCAGTCGGTACTGCCTACACTACTGCGGAACTTAGGATGCCATCTGTTGTCCAGCCAAAGAAAGCAGCCACACATACCACCGAAAAGAAAACACCAAATAACGTCATACTTCAGTGTTATATCTTTTAAGTTATCTGAATCCGAGGCATACTCGATCGAAGATAAGGTGCTAGCCGACTGAAAACATTTGGACTCTGTGTGGCAATATGACGCTCTTCTTCCTTCATCAAAGCTTAGCACACTACGGTGATCTGCGGTTACTCCAAGTAACGCCATAGTCAGGATATGATGCAGAGCAAGTCCTCTTGTCAGCCACTCGTCTCCGTACTACCCATGCACTGTTCTTGTTTTTCCAGATGTTTCTCGGAGCGAACATCTGAAACGCAAATAAAATCAAGGTAACTTTCCTAAGCAAAGGGACGTAAAATCGATCTTTCTCCATAACGTCCCTGTGGCTTCAGACTTCAAGCGAGCCAGTGGCCAAATCCCATTACTAGGATAAATGACACTCCATCCATGCGGTGCCTTCGCTCGTAAACCTGCTCGCTAGTTCAACCACAAGGGTAACATCCTCCCTAACTACAAAAGGTGTTGTTTTCGAGAGAATAATTTAACATTGTAATCCAGTTCGGCGACCGAAAGGGCGCTCGAATTGTGGAACAAATGCGCAAGATGCTGCCATCTTTAAAATGGGATTATATATATGTATACTGGACTATATATATATATATATATATATATATATATATATATATATATATATATATATATATATATATATATATATATAGTCCAGGAAGTGAATATGGAGCCATTGAACAACAATAGGAATCATAGGGAAGTACGCTTTCATAAAAATAATGCAATTTTTAACGTTTTTTCTTTATTGTCATTTTTAATGTTTAAAGCATTAAACCTGCGAACAACTGCTATTTATTACACTTCTTCCATTGCTTCCTATTTTGGGTCATCTCTTCAAGCGTATTAGGCTACTGATGCTCCACATCATGTGGTCCTCATCCAGGAAGATATACAGGTCATAATGCGGCTAGACGTGACGTTAGAGAATTCATGTGCAATCGCCAAGTGGGAGGCTGGCAAATACTCGGTTGATTTCATCTCCATCCTGCACGAGCGAATAGGGCATGGCGCGGCAAACGCTCAGTCGCCATGTGTTGGACATGGGCGAGCTATCTCAACTGGCATACTAAAGCCAGCTTGCTAAAGAACACGTCGTCTGACCTCATCACTGTGAACTCGGGGTTACCACCACACACGAGCGATCCTTCTTAAACATCCGTCGTTAAAGGCGGAAAGACGGTGGATGTCCTCCACGCTTATTGGCCAGAACTCGCTTCCGTACAGTTATGCAGAACGTACAAAGGCACTGTAAATGCGGCTTATAGCGGAAACGCCTTGGGCAAAAGTCGGAAGAAGACGAATAAATTGGCGTGATAGACGCTTATTGTCGAAATCTACAATCCCGCTAGCTAATGGCACCGTAAAAATGTTCTAGCTAAGGGAACGAAATGCTTGTCACCGCGAACCTCGCTAGCACTCCTCAAGACGGGAAGCCGGAAGCGCGCGAAGTGCAATTCGTCTAGTCGACTCAAACACACGTAATCACTGTTCGAACAAACAAGCCTTCTACGTTGTCTAAGTACAAAGTGAAATTGTTTTTATAGTATTTTACACGTGGTACCCAGAAAGGTGAGAAGCTCCAGATCACTGCACTCTCCTTATCTAGATGGAGGCATTCCGATGACGCCACAAGCACCTCATATTGACAAATACTGATCTGCCTTTAGCGATGCAAAGAAAAACGTCCATGCTGATAGTGCTGTTGAAAGAACCAGCTCAAAAATTGAACAAGACTATCTACCTGTTGGAATTGTTCACTTTCACTGGTGAGTACGGGAGCTGATGTAGACTAATTCTGGAGCAGCGTTTTACATTTCGAGCGTGCGAAGTTTATGCCATACTTAAATGGTTTAACCGCCAAACGATTCGGAATGACTTGCATACTCTGTGGACTGCCAACAAGTAAGGTGATATCATCAGCATAATCCACTTTGATCGCGCTCCGCAGCGGCAGAAACTCCAAGCCAATATTTTAGGAACCTTCTAGAGTTCTCGACAGAACGTCCTTGATTGCGAAGTTGAAGTGGAATACATAAATAGGGCAGCTCTGTCGCACACCGATACTGTCAGCGAAGGGAGAGTAAAATTTATCGTAAGAAAGCGGTATACTTATCTGGCACCCCGTACTTCAGCTTGCAATGCCATAATTCGGTCAAATAAGTGAGTCAGATGCGGTCCGTATGTCTAGGAATGCGACGATAGGGGGGTCTACGGTAAATGTGGTGAAGTTCGTGGATTTAGTGCAGCGTGAATATTAGGTCCACGCATCCACGGCCGGGACGCAAACGAACTTGTTCTTCACGGTAGTATGATTCGCAAATTGGGCATAGTCTGCGAAGCAGTGTGGATGCCAGCAGGTTGGAGGTAACTGGAATGAGACTAATTACTTGCTGATTGACATGAGACGCGGGCGTCTTTCTTTAAAATTGGGACAATGCCTGATTCTTCCAATGATGAAGACACTCTCACTGCATGTCAGATTTGTATGCGGGGCCTTTAAGTTCGGCCGTTGCTGTTCTTGTTGGAATATCATTTTGGACTGCCGACTGCGGATTTTATATTTTATTTGTATCTTTGATTCTGTTTTTGAACAACTCTCAAGGTCAAACATGTCCTACTCCATCAACCTTTTGAAAATGTTACGCATTGCTGCCTTAAATCCGTGCTGCATCGAATAGGTCATAAAGTTAGGAACATCTTTAAACGAATTCTGAAGAAATCTCCTGGGAAACAGCGAAAGCATCCTGATGGTTGACATTTTGACCTCAGTCGTTCTGTCGACAAAGCGCAAGTACCACTAATACTTTCCGGTAATGTGCGCTCGATTCTTGGTTAAATCAGTGATCTCAATGCCATTATGAAGCGAGATGAGTATGTAAATACAGGAGTCATTTTGTTGCAAGAAATTTGGTCACACACTGATGTGAAAAATGGGGTTATTCAACTTAATTGTTATTTTCCCGTCAGGTCTGACCGTTCTGGAAAGCCCCACGTGGCATTATAGCAAGTTAACGCATGCTGGTGCAATTCAGCAACCTTAATATTCACATACTCAACGACATCTATAAGCTACCATTTAATTGAATGCAAACCTTATTTCTTAAGTGGCTTTCAATCAATCATAATTGAAAACGTCTACACTGCTCCTGTCTCATCTGCTTCCGACTTGAAGCCTTTT